AAGTTTGGTCCGGATCGGTTAAGAAATGGAATTTTCTATTCGGAACATACGGCGGAGCCGGGTAAGCCAGCTAGTACTGTATATTTTTTCCATCTTCGAATTTTTCATTTTCTACCATTTTGTTTCGCTCGAACCATTGAATACAAAACCTTGCAAAAATTATTTGCACTTTCTTGCTCGGTTGTATAGACGTCGTCAAATCACAATTATTTGAAATGCTTCCATAGAAAACGTATTTTGCCTATTACTGTCTTCAAACGGATTTCTATATTTTTCGTATTTTTCTATGCAGTTGTTCACATGCATGAAATATAGTAAAATTTTATGGCACTAATCACAGAATGGCAGCAGCTTTCAAGAAAAATTATGTGTTCGATTTAGATAACTAAAAAGAAACTAATATGGAACCCAGAATGTTTAACAGCTAATTAATTTGTGCGAAGTTTTTTCTTGTAATTATTACGATTTCACCGTGAATAAATTCGATTTCTGACCGTACCACAAAAGAGCCTAAAGTCGTTTTCTCTAACTAATTAAACAAGACATTCAAAAGAACTGACAGTTTGAGATGGAAACCTTTGATCATGTTTTGCTCATTCAATATTTGTTTGCAACCACAAATTTCTCTCCGTTTTCTTTTTGCACAAAAATTGTACCGTTGAGTAAAACAAAACCTCAACTATTGCAAGTACACGTCATTCTCGCCTTGTCATTCTCTCTCACGTCATTCTTCGAAAACTCAGCACCTTGAGCAATCATCAACGACCTAAATCAGCAATAATCTTATAATTGCCTGTAATCAAATTTATAGTATTTTTACATAATACAATTCATGTCTTGCTTCATTTGAAACCTGTTATACCTATCTTATCTTAGAATGTTTGGGTCTTCTGAGTCACACTGAGTTCACGTAGAGATCATATTTGACACTTAAGACTGTTCGAGACACAGGAGACTTGTTCATAACTTGAAAGCCATTGGAGGGATCTGAAAGACTCGGTGTCGGCAATTGAAGCGGACGATATACTGTAATTTTAGGAAAATTCCTCTTGTGTTAGCTGCGGTTTAATATATTAGGTTGTCCCGAAGGTTTTGTCGTTTTTTCAAACCACTATAAAATCACGCACAATGAAGACCTGAATGATGTTCAACATGCATTCGATGCAGCTTTTCCTTCTCTTTCTTATGGTTACATTTAGGAGCCAAGATCCTGTGTGGTTTTTTTGATAATTGCCACAAATCTTCATTCGTCATTTTTATCTGCTCAAATTTAGGCTATTTTTTAAAAATTTTATTCCAAGGTTTTGGGAAGGACTAAGCATGACACAAATAGAACGATTCTCGGGCTATACGGCAATACTTTCATTCCCCTAAGTTGCTGTTTCTAGCTTCAAAAATTATTTTTTCGGAGGTCTAGATTTCTGGCAAAACCATGGAACACGCAACTGCGGCAAAAACATGAAAGCTTCTGGAATTTTTGCGAATTGAAACTTGATTGCTAGTAAACATTATTTATGAAACACATCCAAGTTTGATTTATTTTGAAAAAGCAGCTTTATGAAATTTTCAGTGATTTTACGTGGTAGACGTAATCAAAAAGTGGTGGTTTTTTTAAATAAATAATTATTTAGGACTTGATGAGCGTGACCTATGTAATCTAAAATAAATATAATGTAGCCGAAGAATGGCTCTACGTAACAGTTATTAGCGCTTTTCGAAAGTAGCAAGAGAAAAATTTTTAAAATTCAGAAAAATTTGGGGTTACTGCCTAGCTGTTTAAAAAGCCATGGCGATAACATTGCGAAGACAGGGTAGATCAGAGAGCAAATATAGCTGTAAGAAAGAGGATGAAAATTTGTTTCAAATGATACCTTTCCATGAATTGGTGTTCTGTGGGTTTTAGTGAGCGATTGAAAAAACCGGCAAAACTTTCGGGACAACCTTATAGCTTAGATCGAATGTTCGTCTTACGGTCTTGAATAATTTGTAACCCCTCTCCAGCTTCATGATTTTGCTTGAATTAAAAAAAGATTCATGACCTTTTGATGACATCTTGATAGTACGCAGTTTGCGGAGATAAAAGTCAAAGAAGAAAAGCAGTGAAGTTTTGATAAATACGAGCCTGTAAAAAACCAAAAAACATCGCAAGAAAATCCTAACTAGTCATTGACATAAGTTTTATGATCTTATTTCCTTAGCTGAGCAAGGTTTGTGCTGATCGTGCATTTCTATGAAAACATATAATTTTTAGGAAAATTACGGAAAAATCAATTTTGCCTTTTTTTCTTGTCTTGAAAATCATAACTTTCCACTATCATCACTAACTTTGTACAACTAAAAAGAGAACCGTATCTCGTGGTGATTGTTTCGGATTTTATGGCAATGTTTCTGGATTTTTGTACGTTTCAAAACATTTAAGAGTCGATCATTTTTCGTCGTTGATATTGTTTTCCGCGATGTGCACAGTGAACGGCTAGCAAAGTGTCATTCAGCCTACAAGACTTCCTCCTTCTATTAAAAAACAAAACCAGAGAGCAAAACGAAAATGCATTTTGCCAAAAATGGTGCTCACTGACTTTCGGTTCAACACAGTATTTCTTCAAAAAGGACAATATTTGATCACTGGATATCATTTTAAGATTTGGATATATGTTTTCCTTTTCATTTCGTCGCATTCATTAGAGTCGACACCAGCCAATAATGAAATGTCATATGTTTTATAACAAAATAAACATGATGTCCAAAATTACAATTATATCATTCAGACTGAGAAAAGCATGATGTCTAGTATTACAATCAGACTGCCGCCTACTATCAAGAGAATTTACACAAGGTAAAAGCATTTATTCGATTACTCATTATGGCAATCTCTTGCCGGACTTAGCTACGTTCACTTTCACACTGATAGTCATAGTGAGTGAAGATTTCAGAGGCTCAAGCTATTTTCTAGTCTTTGAGCAATAGTAACAAAGCAAGAAGCCGGTTGATAGGAAAGCTTTTATCATGAACTTAATTCTGCGTTTCGAAAATATTCCAGAAAGGTATAAAAATTCAAGGAGTCAGCGCTAATCAAAAATGCAAAATACGAATAGTTGGGGTGACATGCGAGACCCGAATGGTTTATGATAATCGAATAATAACACATTCATAGAGTCTAGCAAGTCATATAGAATATCGATTAGACCAGCAAGATAAATTCAACCAAAAGCATTTTCGTTTCAATCTCAACCAAGCAATTATCACCAAAATTATAATCTTTCTACTTTGAATAAAAGCATGGAAAAGGGCAAATATTTTGCCAGTCAAGAATAATACGGTGGAAGAATGATTTTCAGTTTAGCTCCTGCGATTTGCACGCTTCGAAAGCAATGCTCAAGCATGGGGGTGGACATACGTAATCATACTGTGAGTGTATACTGTAGGTATACAGTAGGCCAAGAGCAACAACCGATTGCACGCCCTACCGTATACGAGTATGTTATTTTTTGGTCTTCACATAGATGATTCTGTACATTTTCTCATGTAAATTTGCATATCTGTGCTTATTCATCTATAAACTTAATTTTTTCTGCGATAATTAGAGCACAAAATTCTTATGGACAGCAAGATCCCAAAAAAATCTCAGTAGCTCTAAATCTTACAGCTCTTCTACAAGCAATGTCATTGAGAAGTTACAAAATTATGCAAAGCAACACGTTTTGATTTCCTAGATGTATTTGCATAGAATATGTATTTTAAACATACGACTAAAAGAAATCCGGAACCTTCTGGGCAGGTTCATTACGTCATCTATCCGCATAGGAAATTTATTTATTTATTTATTTATTATGCACTCATAGATGCTCCTGACGAAGGTGGTTAGTGCAAAAAAAAGCGAAACAGAAAAAAACAGCCAATTATAGACGGTGTCTCCAGCAGGTGTAGTAGAAAATTCAGAAAATAGCAAGCTTAGCCCACTAATACAACAGCATAAAAAAATTGTATTATTGTATGTAATTTTGCGACGAGTTGCTGGATTGCGAAGGAAAGAAAAGGAACTCTCTGCGGAAGAGTGTGCAATGTCTGCCGCTATAAGAGTTTATTTTTTTAGTCGGTACACCTTGCACTGTCCAGTTTTTAAAGCGATTTACCGGTTTCTTTGCCATTTTTTACAAAAAGATGTTTGATACTTTTGCGGGTTTCCCTTCGCATTTCGCTTCATCGTAAAATCCTGCACTTTCTAAGAAGGCAGGAGCTTTGCAAATTGGCCAAGAAAAGGGTCCTTGAAAAGCGTGGATTTCACATATTCTACCTCGAAGTTGCGATGTAAAGCTAATTACTAACTATATGTCAAAAAAATGAAGCATTGATTGCAAAGCGAACTGAGGAAGATCCATGTGGGAAGGAAAAATCGAACAAAACATAGCCAAGAACACGCATTAGGGATTTATAATATGACCATGGGATCGCATTTACAGCAAGTGATCAATGTCCAAAGTATAGTAAGATTGCCATCATACTAAGCCAATTGACCGGAAGTTTCGCTGGACATTCAGAAAACGAACTGCCCGCACCCCTCCTGGAAAATGCTACGGAAACTTCCGTTCTGAATCACTATGACGCCAAACTCCTGCGGAAGTTCCCATTTTCGACGACTAAGCTTCTGTGGTAATAAACAAAGTCCGATCGCTGCCAATTTTTCTTTTTCTAAGGAAGTTCGCGGTTGCCTAAGTAAGCGCATTTGTGCCAAATGACTACAGTAATTTTGCTCGTCACAACTTATTTTTCGCTTTTTTTTTTCACCATTATTTCAAGATTTCTAGAACCGACTTATTACCATTGTAACAACTGCATATTGGGCCAAATGACTGCATTTAGTTCGACTCCTAAACAGTTCATTTTCATCTAACAACATCATATCAGTACAAACAAGATACTCTCAGAAATCTACAACAAATTCACTAGTTCCTAACTTACAAAAAAACAGCCAATGCTGCAAAAAGATAGTCCTTCTACAAATGTCATATTTTCGTTTTCCTATATCACTTGATGCCTAGAAGAGTTTTTTAAACCAGGTAGGCCGTTCCTTTTCCATTTCTATTATTCGTTTTCCATGAAGTACACCGTTACCTACTTCATCGTTGGCGAATTTCACATAAACCTAGAGAAACCATTGATAAGATCAAATCAATGGCAAAATATGAAAAATGATTAGTGAGTAAAATTCACCTCTTTGTCTTGTTTTTCGCCTTTGTATGGATTGTACGACATCATCTTTCGCTTAATCTCGTTGGTGAGTTGATGAACCTAAACTATGGACAACTAACAATATGTGATGAAACAAAGGTTCCTTAAAAATAACACAGAAAATTTCAGAATACTAATGCGAACCTTCTCATAGCAATGCCCACAAATAGTATCTGCTTGATGATAATGCCCACACGACGGACATGTCACAAGATTTTTGACGAGAGACAACAACCGGGTATAGGAAAATTTTCGAGTTATTTTCTTGGCTGGAAAAATTAAAGGAATAAAATTCGATATTATCAAGCAATACATACGTTTCGGCGTCTTGCGTTTCGGTACACCCAACAATATCCGCATATCATTGATCATATCCTGGATACTGTACGAGTCGCCAGTACTTCTTGTGATAGCATCGGGTCCTGCTATCGCTACCGCTGGCGCAATTGGTGGAAATCTGGGCCCCAAGCCCATAGCCGCGTCGAGTGCATTCTGCACGCGTTGCCACACTCGTAGCATGAACCTTACGTGCAAGAATGTTGATTGAAGTTCGTGATCATCGAAAGAGATCCATCCTTACGATAATCAGGTGTATTTACCACAAGAAAACGAAAAAGTCGACCGTAAAAAAAATAATTTATATTAAAGGATGCGACGTGAAAATCATTCTACAACAGCATTGTACACAAGAACACACAATATAGTTAGTTTTACACATTAATACCAGGTTTTTAAAAATCCTCGTCGTCTTCATCAGCCATCTCCTTGGCAAATTCAAGCTCCTGAAATGCAAGATTATTTGTAATTTTTGTATTGTCACCAGAGTGAGATAGCCATATTTTTACAGAATTTCGTTTGATCACTCAGCAGAAAAAAGTTTCATGCGTTTTTGTCATGAAAAGACAAAATCAAGGACAACGATCGAAGAAGAGCCATACCTGTTGTTCCCTTTCTCGTTGTGCTTCTATGCTTTCCACATCACATTTATTTTTTGGGGGGAAGCGTAAAGCTTTTACAGCTTGATTATGCAGTTCGAGGCAATATCTGAAGAATAACATTTTCATTGCTTGTTAAAAACTGAATTATTTAAGCAAAATTTTGAATAAAAAATGATATGTCCCTTACTCGAGGATAGAGTGATATTTCTAACCTGATCCTGCTGTCAAAATGCATTTGAGGCTCAGTTGTGGTGTAGACATTGACAGTTTCTGAACTTCGCATGAACCTTTCGCCATCTTTGGTGTCGCAAGTGATCACAGCATCTATGGCACCATCTGCTATAGCTTTGGCAACCTAGATACCTTTCTCAGGATATATATGGACCAAAAAACATGCGATGACCTACCAAGTACTCCGTCTCTACTTCATTGCTCATCCCAAGTTTCTTGGCGATGTCCTGCAAAACAATACATCAATGCAAGAATTTTAGACAAACCAAACTCACTTTTATGGTAATTCTCGAGTAAGCCAATGAGATCTGTTTCACAGCGGTCTTGATGACATTTTGTCGTAGTCGGACTATCAAGGTGAGAGTCTCATCTCGTTCAAACTGAACATCTTATAGTAGAAAACCAAACGCGAGTTGACAATTATTCATGTATTTTCAATCCAATAAAGTAATGCATACCTCTGGTCCATGATTTTTCACAACGGCGTTGAATTTTGCAAGATCTCCCAGGCGAACGGCTAGAAAGACGTTATCACATACAAAAAAATTAGGAAAGAGTATCTCTTGAAACACTAGGTCGGTCAAGAACGACTGAAAGACAAACTTGAAGTAATCCATACCTTGGGTAAGCTCGAGATATGGGTGTAGACATTTTCGATAAATAGGCTGACGGAATATGGAACGCTCTGGTATTTCTCCTTGAAGCAGACCAATCACAATAATCCACTTCTGCACATTCTGCTTGAATCCTATGGCAGCTTCTTGTGGTGCTTTTCGCATGGCCTGCAATAAAAATTATGCAAAATTACTTATAACTGGAAAATAACTAAACCGCACCTGCAAGAAGTAACCAGCAGCAGCAATGTAGTCAAGCTGGAGCGCTTTTATGCGTCCTTGATAGTACAAAAAGCGGGCAAGATCATTGTTATTGGCCCCTTCAGGGAAAGTCACCTGAAAAGTCGTCGAAATAAATGCTCTTTTGCAGATTAGAACTCAAAATGTACCTTTGAAACGAGTTTGGCTGCTGATTGAAATTGCTTGTTGATCAAATAGCAACGGAGAAGGGTATAGATGAGCACCGCTTGTGATTCTCTTTGGCGACGAAGGGTTGCCGTGCGAAGTCGGGAGTTCAAGAAACTTCAAAGAGAAGTAATGCAAATAAAGTCACCAAAACAAACTAAATGCGTACCATCCAAGCTCATGCAATTTATGTTGCCTTTCGTAGATTAAAGCCAAGTAGAAGATACCTTTGGCCACCAGTGGGTCAAGAGATCTTTTGTCTAGTGCATCAGCTTAAGCATGCAATTTATAATAAACATCTTAACATAAGCAGTATTGCAAAATTACCTCGGGCAATTAGCATCTCTGCGCATTTCTTGGCTTCATCCAGTTTATTTTGGTCGACAAGATATAGCAGAACAAGAAGGTGGATGTACAGTTCAGCTTCTGGTGACGCAGTTGAAGCTTTACGAGCCGCGCGCGGTGACCTGAAGGTAGTTATGAAAGTATAAAAATAAAAGAATTTCAGCAACACCTACTTTACGGTAGAAGTTCCCGGTGCAGGTGTGGGAGCAAGCTTTGTGTCAACCTCCATTGCTACCGATACGCTGCAAGGGACCCAAGCAAGAAGAGCATCCTTACGCACGGATGGAGATGGTATCAGACTTGTAATCAAGCGATGGAGCACCTAAATTGTTATCAAGATCTTACAAGCTCTTTGACTAACTTCATAAGTAGAAATGAGCAAATGGAATAAAGATGGAAAAATATTCTGATGTTTATCACAGAAAAGAGAAGCAATTTTCCCATGAGACCCCCTAAAAAGGATCAAATTGCCTCTGATTGGACCGTTTCACAGAAATAAAAATTGCCAATGCAGGGTGGCTGAAAAAAAATACTGCTGTTATAGACGCACTTGGATATGATATAGCAAAGCTGTCAAAATCGTAAAACTCTATTTTTTGCCCCGTAAAGCGGTGATGCAGTACAGCTATGATAGAACTAAATAAGCGTAGTAACATGCAAAATAACTTGAGATTTCAATGAAAAGACATGCTTATTGAGGTGTGTAACAAGTAAAAGACTCTTGCTTGAGAATATCCACGTTGTACGCCATCGCGCATCTAAAAGATCGGCCATTAGTTGTAAGTGTTGCCAGAGTTGCCGAGGTTGGCGGACCTCAGAATGCGCTCTTTCTAAGCGGTGCCAGCAACCACGGCAGCTCCAGCAACCCTGGTAACAATCGTCGGCAACCTATGGCCGACCCCACGACGCACAACAGTCCCCATCGCTGGCTTGTGAATCGACCTCCGGAGCCGATACCTTCAGAACGTTCGCTACTTTCACAGCGCATACTACAGATATGTGCGCATAGCGCTGTAATGTTCCAGTAGACGAGGAGATGAAGCGCTTATCAGCAGCTTTCTCATGCATTCTTAGGCATGAACCACATATAAAAAGTTGTCGAGGAGAGGCTTTTGCCTTATCTCTCCAATCACTTCACAAGTCTTCGAAGTTTCACAGCTCCAAGTCACGGCATCTCTGCACGAGCACGGAACTTCCTCAATACACCGCGGTTCAGTTCTTGACCGTCTCTTCCACCATCGCACAATGCAATGCTCTTAAAGGCCCGTTACTCTTGCTTTGCATTTTAATAATTAACAATTCCTCCTTTGCAAATCTGCTTTCACCTATGAAGCTCTGATACCCAAGCTGACTACTAGTAAGCAACTAGTCAGTCAGTTTGTGGAATCCCGTTCATAAGTGAAGTTTGAGGTGCACAGACCGTCACTTATTTGGTTCACGGAGCAACCTACCAGTTCTTTGCACCGCAACACAGGTATACGTCTGACTGAGTTAAGCCGTCATCGCTGCAATTACTGCCCCTCACAGTGTCACAGGTCGTTTATAGTTATCACAGTAGACAGCAACCTATGAGCTCAGGGTCGAGATAAAAAAATGGCGGTATAACAAGCACGGTGAGCTACTCACTGAAAAAATCAAGCCCTACTTGCACGAAAAAAGCTATGATTTCCTTCTGAAGGGAGTGTCCCGAAGCGAGGGTTGCAGTGTACCTTCAAACTTGCAATAATAAGCCCTCGATTAAACAATAAGTGAAGTCCGGTGCGAAGAAATGCATGCACAAGCTCAAAATGTTCGAAAAGTTCCGGAACTCAACCGTATACTGAGCGGTAGAGCTCGCATACCGTACACAGCTATACCAAAGAATGCCACAACAATGGTCCGCTCGGGGAAACTTTCGACATTTCTGCGCTCTCCAAGCGACATTCTTGGGATCAGCAGGATAGGTTAACCAGGTAAGCTTGAAATTTTTAGACCCAGGTTTTGCATGCTGCAAAAATCCAACAGTTTGCGAACTCAGAAAGATCCTTTCATGGCACCTTCGCATCATAAAAAAAGAGGCTTGGACGGTAAATGAGAAAGAAATTGGAATAAAATTCCAATCAAGCAACGCACCTCTACATTGCACTGTTTCCTTGTTTTTGGTAGCACCTGAAGCACACGAGCAACGAAGTGGATATCACCTTTGTCGAGAAGGCTACAGTGTTCCTTGATATCTGAAAAAAAAAAGACTTTGCAGGTCAGTTTACACTTCAAAAACGATTCAACTCGTAGAAGCTAACGTGCACAGGGAATGAAGTGGATAGAATTGCAGTACACAACTTACTCTCCAATGCAATAGCATTCAAATCCTTTGGTGGTTCTTTCTCTTCTGCAGGTTTTGCCGGCTCATCCACTTCCATTTTCTCCACAGCTGGAGCCGGATTTGCCATCGGTGCCATGACTTGAAAATGAAGACTAACTGATGCCGAACTCAAGTAAGAAATGAGAACTACTAGAAAAGGCTTGTTTGAAATCAAAAGGATGATTTTAGAAAATTTGGAACGATGAGAATATGCTGCTCCACGGCTAATGTGGACGAGATTTCGTGCGCTCCAAACTCGTACAGCACGTCGCGGCGCGCGGGCGAGGCGGAGCAATTTCGTATTTCCTTCGCCGGTTTTCCAGAAAAGTCCGACTTTTTCGTAGCTTTTGTTCTCTAGTTCGGGTTCTTCGCCATTTTGTGAGTTAACATTTATACTTGTGGCTCTATCTATAAGAACATAGCTCGGGATTAGGCCATGTTTGTGTGTGAGCAAAGTTTTTCTTCATCTTCACGGAGTCTTGTTTCGTAGAGCATTTACTAGGATCTAAAACCTGGCACCTACCAGCACATTGCATAAGTCATCAGTCCGCTTAGCATCGAGTCCTAACTTTGACTAGTCAATTGTATAGTCAATCACTCATCCGGACTGTCTCAAACTTTCGAGCGCCTACTAAGTGTTTTTTTCTCTTCAACTGGTTTTGCGGATCCATGTCAGTGAGTCACTCAGTTTGGTGTAGTAAAGGGCTCCTTGTTGGTTTTTGCAGTGATTCTACGGCTGCGTTCATACTGATCCTAAAGTCCGGGAACAGTTTCAGCACAGTGCTCTGTTTGAGCGCTGTGCTGGAACTGTTCCCGAACTTCCGGATCAGTATGAACGCAGCCTACGAAAGGGTTGCTGTTCTTGTGCGCAGAATATACTGTCGTGCATACAGTGGACGGTGCCGGCAGATTTTCACGTGTATAAATTGCCTTAGGCCTCGGACAGAGTTTACGCGATTTCAGCGCCGCGATTTTATCAACAAGATGAACAACTGCGAGTTCATTGCATGGCGATCAACTTGCATTTCGGTCGTAATAGTTAGTCACGATTGGTCGTGTTGGAAAACTATCACAACCGAAATACAAGATTAGCGGCATGCAATAGACTCACAACTGTTTGTCTTGTTAGGAGAATCGTGGCGATGAAATCGCGTGAACTTCGCCCGAGACCTTCGGACAAAATTTTTGAGAGTGTGCGCTCTATTGCAATTTCAAACGCGCAGGTTGGGCAGGTGCCATACTTTCCGGTTCAACCGCTTCCTCCGGTTGGTTTACTCCCGCTATTGGTCAATTCAGTGATTTGACCAATAGCCAATGAGTGAACCGGGCGAACCGATTCAACCGGATAGATAAGTCTGGCATCTACCTTGTCTGCATCGCAGACATGGCATGGCATTTGGTTACGCGCAAATGTTGTCGGCACCGGAGGGGCACGATAAGAACCGTTAAATTAGCCTATAACAGACTGCAACAGGGGAGAAATCTAGAGACAGTGAAAGGGCCACTTATTCATACTTTATCACCTCACTTTTGCCGTGTTGCTGCTTGCGTTTGAATGCGAAAAAGTTCATAGGGCGAATTCGTTGGTGCCTTTGTGGCAGACTGTCAGCAAGTGACGTGCTGCACCACGTGGCGCGAGTACTGAATTTCTTCTTCAAGTCCATTTCTTCAGCATTTGCGAAAAGTTGTACGGGATGAAAGGTAAGGAACACAGTATAGATACTATTTTAGCTTTAGTTTTTCCTCGTCAATGATTATGATCTTGACCTTTCAATTTCCAACACTTTTTTCTAGCAGATCCAAGTTCTAGCTGTGGATAAAGGACTGTCATATTTGCGGCCTTACAGGGTCATGATTTGTCCGATATTTACTGTTCTAGTTAATTTCTCGATTCTTGGACGTCTCATATTTTCGGCGTTTCTGCGGTCATTACTTTTATGAACTTCTCATGATCGTGTACAATAAAAAAAAAGGAATTCTTAAGCATGCGCTGTAGCCTTTTTGAGCAGCAACCCCAAAATCAATTGTTGTCGCTGTATATGTTCGCTTGATACTAAAATGGTTAGAAATCGTTTGAGAAGGTTCAAATTCATCCGAACAATGTCGATCCATAACGGCCCTTATCTCATTGTACGAGTTGCTGCTACTTTGAATTTCTGCGAAACGCGCACCTTTTGCATTCGCAAGTGGTGCGGTTCCCAAAGCCATTGAAAATTCTGCAACCGCGGCAGACTAACGGTATGACGTCACGCTCACCTATGGACTCGGCTGTAGCGCTATTCTCGACGTTTCTCGACACTTCTGGCATCGGGCGTGGCCGTGTCGCGCCGCCATTCGCATCCATTTCGCGTCGCGAATTTTTCGTCTGTCCGTCTAGTAAGCATTTTCGATTATTTTTGTTGTTGACAGCGGATGGCGAATTTTCATTAGATCAATAGAAAGTTCACCAGCGTTGCGATCTTTACACAACTATACTAGTTCTTACGTTTTCCTTTCTATGACTCACTTTCCCATTTATCGAGTCCATTCTGTACTTTGTTATCGAACATTTTTTCTTTTCCGTCGACGCTTGGTGAGATTTTTCTCGAAAATGAAAGCAAAAATTGTGCTGTGCTACGGTTTTAATAGGGTATTAGTCAAGCCAGTACAGAATGTTGACGAAGCTTCTAGAAGCACCTATGTTTACGCTTTTTCCTGTCGTGTCTGTGCTCATTCATCGCCGTACTTTTCGCGACAAGATGATGTTTGCTTTTACGTCTTGATTTTTCTCTTCCTTGCTATGTCACTACACTTCTTTGATCTTGATTCAACGTCCCGGATGTTTATGCTTCGCTTCTTGATTAATTGCAGACATTCTATGAGTGACAAATTTTTGCTCTAACAGATTTGCGAACTTTACTCACCATTGAGCAAAAGTTCATAACAACAGTACAGTTCCTTTTCACTTGAACGTGAATCGCTCGACCCAAGTAGCCGCCAATACTCGCACTTTTATACTTGTAAACAAAGCCGCCACTTCCCGTCATCGCACAGACTAGACATGAAAATACGACATGTTCCTTTTTTATTGATCAGTTTATCTCATGGTTCCTTGTGGTTCCTTGCAAGCTTACAATTTGCGACATACTTTTGAAATGGTTGCGCCACATTCAATCGTACCGAAAACAACTTTTAATGTCATTTCGATCGCATCTGTATAACTAACTAGTCGTGTAATCCGTCTGGAAGTTCGCAATGCGTGGCATCGATGCAGGCATTTCATGTAAAAAACAGTTCTTCTGGATTCCTGATTCATTCATCTGTAATTCTCTTCTCTCTGTCTCAGTTCTGGTGTATGAAATGAACTATGGCACTAGCATTTCTTATAGATCCCTGCTAAATAGGGTGAATGCTGAAAAACGTACCTAAATAAGATTCTTTTAATCTCGCCTAGAATCATGATTAAAAGTGCAAAAACCATTGCACAAGCCGAAGATGGCATTGCTTTGTTGAGTCTGTTAGGCTAATATTGATCTTTCACGAGAAGCGCTTGAGGTGTGATCCTGTAGTTGTCTGTATTATTACACCTTTGCATCTAGAATTCTTCTTCATTACATGTGTGATAGTCAGAATTGCATAGGCACAATTTGTAAGTTTCTACTCAAATTTCTCACGATTCGCAGAAAAATGGCGTTTATATGTATAAACTGGTGGATTTGGTGGTCATTTTTAGTGTTCTTGTTTGCTGACAACGTTCGCGCGTTAAACTATAACATGATGTATAGCATGCATGCTCTGTAGGCCATTTTTAGGTTCAAGTTTGGAGTTGCAGTTTTTGGCTAAGTTAGATATTTTACGTTTTGCTTTTTCAGTGTACAAGATTATACTTCAAGGTTTCAGGGTTTGCTTTCTTTTATTGGATATCTTCATGTGCCTTGTCGATTTTCAGACTGCCGCACTTAAGAAAGGTTGTTTTTGACCACTTTAATCGAGATTATAGAGTTTTTAATCGCTTTTTACTAACTGAATATTGGATTTTTTTCCAACCGCTTATTTTTTTAACACAAATTTGATTGGAGATCAAAATGTTTTATATGATCCTGCCAAAGCATTGCGATGTTACCAGATTTCTATTTCATCGTAATTCCGTTGCCGCTTCGTTTGTTGTCATGGAAATTCCCAAAAATTTGAGCAAAAACCAAAGCCGCGTTGCGAAATCGTGCACACGACTGCGCCGAGCCGCAGACGGTTATGTCCATTTGCTGAAGGCCACTTATCTGTCCCCACTGTCTGCATATTCGTGCATTCGTCGTCTTACTGATGATTGCCAATCGTGACAGCTCTCAAATGTGACTTTTTTTGTAGATCTCGAGCTTCAGCGACCATGTCTGTCGTCGGCTTCGACGTCGGTAATCTGAACTGTTACATCGGGATTGCTCGACAAGGGGGAATAGAAGTTATCACCAATGACTACTCACTGCATGCAACACCGTGAGTCATTTATCTGATTTTTTCTGGATGATTTTATTTTGCATTTTTCATAATGTTTGCAAACCCCTATGTAGTGCATTGAACAACGAATGAGTCAGCTTTGCGCTCTTAATCGATTCTTCGACAAAAAATGGTCATTGGACACGCGCATACAGTGACTGGCATAGGTACCATGAGTAATGAACAATTTTGTGGTGCACTTCATTCACTTATGGTCTCAGGAGCTTAGGAATATGAAAAAATCTGTGAATCCGTCCAATTTTTGGAATCACTGAGACCGTCTGCGAAGTGATTGTTATCTGATACGACGGTTCACTTGCAAGAAAAAGACTTCTTTATCAAATACAAACATTAGGGTTGTTCATCTTCTGCAAGTTTACTGCTATTATTTGGAGTCTGGGCTTTGAAAGAAAAATTGTAGTGTGCTGTGGGTTCCTTGTAGCTTGTGTTTGAAGAGTGTTGATCGATTGTAATAAGGAAATGAAGACTTTTTCGTTTTTTCTCCATAACCAAACAATGTTTTTGCAAGTAATTCACCAACTGCAACATGCATTCTGTAACCCTGCCAGTTTTCTGACCTGTGATTGTGATCATTCGGAGATAACATTTATATTTCTACAGATTGCACTTTATTATCTTTTTGCATCAGATAAAATAGCGCTGTTGCTATTAGTAGAAACCGTTCATTTGCGGAGGAAATAGAAAGCCGGAATTCATGCATAGGGATAACACTATTTGTTTCGAGGCGCTTTTTTACCATATGGCCCACAGACAGCATAAGACGCAGAGTGGGCCTTGCTTCGCAGGTTTATCCGCCGGCATGTATGAACTTCTTATTCCTATCGTAAAGCATAATTTTTGGAACACTTTTCTTTTGAAGTCGCTTCGCAATCAGGCTGCCAGGTCTTCGTCTCTTATAAGGGAAGAGGTGACATACAGAAACCTCCGGAAAACAGTAAATGAGCATCGTTTTTATTCTTGACGTTGTTTATAAAAAATTGCTTTTATCGGTCGAAAGAAATATTGGATTAGCTCTACTGCCTATTCGCTCTTTCACACAATACAGTGGTTGAGTTGACAAAGCAATAAGATTATCGCAGTTGCGCTGCTTTAACTCAGACTATAGTTTGAAGCGATCATTGTAGTCTCTATAGACAAGCGGTGTCGGTCTAGGCACATGAAAGCGGTTTTTTTCCTTTCCAGCGCCACTTCAAACCTATTCGCTAAGTGTGCTCTTTGCGAAAAGTAGTATGTTACTTGGTAAAGGGAGTTTCAAGGTCATTGGTGATTATGTCGATTGAAATCACTCAGACCTTAATCAGTATCCATTTCTCGAAATGTGGCACAGTTGTTACTGTCATTCAGCATGTCTAATGCTGGTATTCGCATATTTGCGGAAATTTGATTGATTGTTTACGATACAATTTATATTAGCTGTGTGAATAGTGTGCAACACAAAACATTCACCGTGTTTGAATGGGGATAAGTTCTTGTTTCTTGTTTTCGCATCGGTAAGAGGACGTTGCTAGTATATTGCATGCTACAACTACCCGTGCTTGAAATGGGCTTACTAGTATATATTTTGTATTTTTCGTATGTATTTTTGACCTTTTTTTCGAATGTGAGTTTGCAAATATCAGTCACATCATCGATGTCTGCTTTCAGATCATGCGTATCATTTGGTGCAAAAAACCGTTCTATGGGTGTGGCGGCTCGTCAGTCCGTGAACACAAACATCAAGAATACAATCATTCATTTCAAACACATGATTGGAAGGAAATTCAGTGACCCTATTGCACAGAAGTTCATTCCGTTTGTGCCATGCCAAACCGTGCAATTGCCAAATGATGAGATTGGCTTCAAGGTAAAAACTGCTACATTTTTTGATATCTAGTTGTATTCTGTGCAGGCGATCATCGTATATGAAAAAATGTGGAGCTGCGGAGCGGATTGAAAGTTTAGATTGAATAATACAGACACTTGATTTATTAGGCTACTTACTTTCTATACTTTTTACTCATACCTCATGGCCGAACCAAAGATCGATAAACGAGCTCTTCCTCACAATCCATCCATCTCTGTGTTGTTAAACGTTTTGCTCAGCTGCTGCTGTCAAATTTACGTTCGGGCAGCTGTTGTCTCGAGAAAATCGCTAGTAATTGGTATAATTTATTGATACGTGAACCGAACGACTGCAGGGTAGGTAATAAGATGTTAAATTCCTCTGGAATCTGCTATAATAAGTGCTTCTGCGGATCTTTTTACATTATTGCTGCAAAAATCTTCCGCATTTGTAATTTTTGTCTTTAGCGACAACATACATCAAATTTTATTCAGACGTTTTCCCAAGTTATATAAATAGAGCTTTTTTCTCTGTTGGGATAATCTCAGCGCTGTTTTCTCTTCAGGCTTTGGAACACATGTTGTTTTGAGCGTTATTATTACGCATGAGAGGGCTGCAAATTTACTTGTTTTATAGTTTAACTTTTGTGGCAATCAGTGAAGCTATCAGTTTCTTGGATCGTATCTCGTAATTTCAGGTTAACTATCAGGGTAAAGAAGCAACATTTACTCCTGAACAAGTGCTTGCAGCTCTTTTAACTAAGTTGAGGGACATCATTGAAAGTCAGTTGAAAGATGTGAAGAAAGTCACAGACTGTGTGATTACGGTAGGTTCAGCTTTTTTGCTTACTTGATCTGAAAAGTTAAACTTTTCCATTTTAATAGGTGCCTTCTTATTTCACTGATGTGCAGCGACGTGCTGTTCATGCTGCCACGCAGTATGCTGGTTTGAATGCGCTTCGTGTCATGAACGAGAGCACGGCCATAGCACTAACATACGGTAAAAATTCCATCTTCACCACCGTTACGGTTTCAGATATGTCTTTCCAGGGATCTACAAGCAAGACTTACCAGAGGAATCAGCTAAACCGCGCTATGTAGTTTTCTTGGATGTAGGCCATGCTTCCACGCAAGCGAGTATCGTTGCCTTTCACAAGGGAAAGCTGCAGGTAATCTAGCTCAAATTTCGTACAAGTCAACGGTTTGACGATTTTTATTATCCATTTTGAGATGCTCGGTACTACGTATGACCTTGGTGTTGGTGGAATTTGGCTAGATGATCTTATTCGAGAGCATTTTGCTCAAGTTTTCAAAAAGACATACGGTATGTTGTGGCCATGATTCAGTCTTTTGTTTTTCCCGCAGCTACCCACCAATTCGAATTCTTGTATCTAAAATATTAGGAATTGATGCCAAAAGCTCTCCTCGAGCATGGCTCCGTCTTCTTGATGAATGTGAGAAAGTTAAGAAGCAGATGTCTGCGAATCAAACTCCCATTCCGATTAACATCGAGTGTTTCCTTGATGACAAGGATGTCACTGGCAAAATGCAGAGGTAAGTGTTTTTCGGATATCCTAGTGAATTTTTTGGTCTCTGTCCGCTCTTGGGTAACCTTTCGCTGTTTAGGTCTGAATTTGAAGAGCTGGGAGCTCCATTGTTTGAGAAAATCAGGCAGCTTCTATTGCGATTGCTTGAAGAGACGAAAGTCAAGGTAAGTAGAGGAGGTATCAGATAATCTATATCGCCATTATCTTGTTTTAGAAAGAAGACATTGATTCTGTTGAAATGGTCGGTGGCTCTTCGCGTATACCAATCATTCGTCGTATCATCCAAGACGTTTTCGGGAAAGAACCAAAAACCACTATGAATCAAGATGAAGCTGTTGCGCGAGGTACTGTTTCAGTAAAGATTTAGCTTTGCGAAAAACTTGCAAGCTCCTGGGGTATTAATGGTTTCTTTTTCACTTTTAGGAGCAGCTATGCAATGTGCTATTCTCTCTCCTGCATTCCGCGTCCGCGAGTTTTCTATCAAGGACACTCAACCATATCGTATTAAAATCACCTGGTCGGGTGGCGCCTCTGAGGGAGGGTAGGTGGACACAACTGAATGATTTTCTTACAAAATCTTAATCATCATTTTTAGTGAATCTGATGTATTTGTGGAGCACGATGAATTCCCATTCTCAAAAATGGTCTCTCTTTATCGATCTGACACATTCCAAGTTGATGCTCGTTATGCGCTTCCGAATACTGTTCCTCACACAACTTCTGTTGTTGGTAAGTTTCTACTTCGTAGTTGCTATGTAATCGAAACTTTTGTTTGTTTTCACCTAATAGATTGGTTTCTATTTGCTGAGTTTAGGTTCATGGCGTGTCCTTGGAGTCACACCAAACGCTGAGGGCCAACCTCGCAAAGTCAAGATTAAGGTCAATAAGTTTTCACCTTATTTCAGATTCTGTAGTTGACATTCATAAAGTTTGAACATTTGCAATTGTTGCTTAAAATCGGATGAGATTGTTGTTTTTATTAGAGCTTAACGGCACCTTCTACCCATATCCTAGCTTATTATTCAAATCGATACATCGGGGCCTCGAGCTAATTAGTTGCCCCAGTTCTGCTGCAAAAGTTGAATTCCGAAACAAGAGAACTGATTAAGAGGGTAAACGCTGCGAGGAGGTCATCCCATCAACATGGGTGATGCAAAGTTAATGAGCTGAAACCATACTTTAGAGTTTCTAATAATGTCGAACATTGTTTCACACGAGGAAATGATTTTGACTTTTCTTGGTACTCTAAAGTTCACTTTTATGCACAACAGTTCTAGACCGTTTACGTAAGTGGGATTGGCTACTTCTGCCGCGTTTACCTCCTGAAGCAATCTCCCCGCTTTGGAATACACCTACAGCGGGCTTGAGCAGTTACTTAGTTCGGGGCCTGGGTATGCTACTGCATCAGGATCTCACCAACCTCAGTCTTTGGTCGAGCGTGCTTTGAGGGCTTGACTTAGCTTTCTATATGTATTGTGTCCGCATATGTCTTTATATGATATCGTTTTGCAGGTGCGACTGAATCCAAATGGTGTATTTGCAGTCTGCTCAGCAACCATGTACGATACCCAGATAGTCGAGGTACATTCTGACCGACCATAGCGCTCTAGTTAGCACTCATCATTTAGGAAGCCCCGGGTCAAGAAGAACAACCAATGGAACAGGATAGCACCTCTCAGCCACCAGCTGAGCAACCTGCTGCAGCCCCCGGAGCCGGAGCAGCACCACCTCAAGGTGCGGCTCCAGCTCAGGGTGCTCCCGCAGCTAACGCACCTGCGCAACCATCTGCACCGCCAAAACCTAAAACTAAGACCATTTCCACTGAGCTTAAGATTGAGGAACGACTACCAGTTGTTTACGACATCGACAAGTACACACGCGCTGAGGTTTTGTTTGATGTTTTAGAATTTTTTCTCTTACTTTTTCATTATTCACAAGTAAATCACCTACTTGTGTTTTATTAATGATTGTAGATGAAAATGCAAGAAGCTGATCTCCTTGAAAAGCAAAAGGCTGATGCTAAGAACAGTGTGGAGGAGTATGTGTATGATATGCGAGACAAACTATCAGATTCATTGGCGGAATTTGTCACCGAGAAGGTCGGTTATATTATGGCCGTTTTCGTTTTGATTGTGCCAAAATGACGCTCCTATCGTCCCAATTCTTAGGATGCAGAGGCACTTCGTTCACAACTGACTGCAGTCGAGGATTGGTTATATGATGAAGGCGAAGACGCTGAGAAGCCGGTAAGCTTCTTGCATCAAAACTCTAGCAGATCGCATATTTTGTTATTTTGTTATTTATTATTTGTTATTTTGTTATTGTTCTTTTTGTAGGTTTATGAGCAGCGACTTGCCGAGCTCCGAAAACTTGGTGATCCTATAATTGAACGCTATAGAGAGTTTGAAGCAAGGAAGGTAAGCTTAGAGAGATAGCAGAAGTGATAGTCAACCATATTATTTCATTTCAGCCAGCATTCGAAGCTTTTGATAGGTCAATCATTCGTGTGCGTAAAGCGTACGAAGACTATGTGGCTGGTGGTGAGGCACACGCTCACATTGACAGTGCTGATATGGAGAAGGTTTGAGAATTGTTAATTGATTGTCGCCACTTGAACATTTGATTTCTGAAACAGTTTTTCTTGCAATTGATGAGTCAGCACGTTCAATATGAAATGTGTAGGTGATCAACGCAATCGAAGAGAAGAAGCGATGGTTCGATGATGTTCGCCATAGGCAGGAAAGAAGGGCTAAAACTGAGCCGCCAATCGTGTTTGCAAACGAGATCGCCCAGAAACAACAAGTAAGTCAAAATATTGATTCCTTCTGTTATAGAAGTATTGCAAACCTTTATAATTTGCTCTTAAGAGAGGAGAGGGTATCCAAGAATTATTGTTGGGGTGGTATGATGGTTGTTTGTACTATTCCTTCCCCTTTCATTTGATTTTGCTAATCTGCAACGACCACAGTGCATTCCGTTGTGGGACATTGATAGAGTACCCGGAGTCTCAAATACCCTTTATCGGCATGCAAGCGCATATTATGTCCTAGACGAGGAGTCAGTTAACGTGCAAACCTTACAAACATTATATCAACACACGCTTCAATACTTCCAGTTTGGTTCCAATTTACCATTCTCGGAGAGTGGAGGATCTGTAGCCGCGTATTCACCAACCTTAGAACCTTGGGAGCGCATATCCGCTCACTCTATATCGTATGTGAAACATACCGTGTGCCACTGACCCGTATTCACGAACATAATTCGAGTTAGAATCTACCTCTATCTAATATATCCTGAGGTTCAAGATAGATATTACCCTAACATAGGGCAAGAATTCTTTACCTCGAACTGAGACATGAGCTATGCATTTGCATTACCTCAAGCTTAATTTTATCCTGTTTATACAGATTAATGGCACAAGGTATGTCTCTTATGCTTTGAGATATAGGCAATTGTTTGAGCATACGGGTATGCGCTCTCAAGGTTTATTTTGCCTCAGGGTTCTTGATGAGTTCGGCTGTTGATTAGCTGAAGCCGACCAGACATAGCGGAGCCTTATATCACCACTCTTCCCATACAAACAATCCGAAGGTCTTGTTTGAGCTGTAATTATTTATTTTGTAGGCTTTTGAAGCCATTGTAATGCCAATTCTCAACAAGAAGAAACCGGCTCCACCACCACAGAAGAAGGAAACAAAGAACGAAGCACCACCTCCACCGAATGGAACCCCGGCCGGAGATAATGCTGCACCACCGCAGCAAGCTGCAGACAACATGGAAGTTGACTAATTCTGAAGGTTGTTCATACTATTGTGTTTGTGCATCAAGTGTTTCATTGCTTATTTACGTGCACCGTTTATAATCATCGGTAATTGTAGACGAGTGTGTATCACTTCTCCCTGAATTTTCAGAATCATACATATAATTTATATAGATAGCACCCGAATAGTTGAGGTCCGGATTTTCCCTTGTTTTCATGTTATAGTTTTTCCTCTAATAAGTTGTCCCCGCTATTCAGTGCTATCTCCTTGTGCTCATGGAGGTACCACCGTGTGGTTACTCCATGCGTAGACTCTGCCGGTTGATTGCTTCCGTCAACACTCATCTAGTGTGACGCTGGCTCTATAGTTGTTTTTATAGGCTTTTTACTCGAGCACATGTGAACTGTTCATACTGTTGCTTTCATGTGTGTCGATAAATAAGTCAGAAATTGTTGTATCACTGTATAGGATATCATTTATACATGAGAACAGACTATTCACATGTAAGGATGATAACAGAAAATAGAGGTAGCACCTTTGAATTCGAAGATGTAGGGTCTCAACCGCGTGAGATGTTCACTATAAAAGGATCCCAAAGCCACAAGCCATACTCGATCCACTTTATCCACTTCGCTAACGGTCAGGTTACTGATTCGACAAATAGGGACATGAATGGAGTGGAACAAGTACGGCGCGTACCATAAAGTCGGTGCTACCATCTGTCTCATCTGGAGTAGCACGACTTGAGTGGCTTAGGTCTCGCGCAGCCTTGGCCTTGCGCCGCGGTCACAAACGTGTCATCTGGTCGCGCTTGAGCTAAAAAGGGCTTAGAACTGAGCTTTAATCGTTGATTAGGCTTGGAAAAATGGTCAGAGAACACTTTTGCGGACGTGCGGGTCCAAGCAAGGAGGTGACGCGGACCCGAGCCGCTCAAGTCGTGGACACTCCAAATGACACAAAGTGTAGCTGTGCAAGGCTGTCCTCGCCTATTCTGACAATGCACACTTCTTGATGATAGAAGAATGGAATGAAACTGACAGAATGTGAGACAATCAAGGTGATTCATGCGATTGTAAATATTTACAAATTTCTCTTTCTTCAATTGTCATAGTCAGCATCTTGTGCCCTGCATGGTCAGCATCTTGTGCCCTGGTCATTCTCAACAGCTCTATTTTCAGAATGTCTTCAGTGCCAAAAATAGGCATAGGGACAAAGCGAATAATCCTTTCACAGGAACTTTTCTACAGATCAATATGGTACAGATAGAGAACCTCGACTTATAGATTAGGTGTTAAAATTCCACAACCCTTCCTGTTCCATCTGAAGAAAGCCTAACGTTGTAAATCAAACAACATCATTCAAAAGCAAACCTGACGTTTCTGAGACTTCGTAACATCGCTTTCTATGTTGAATGCCTTGCAAATCTGTGAGGGATTCTTGCCAACGAGATGTTTGTTGATGCTTTGGATTGCACGTCGCATCATCGTGTTGGCTTCGAAGTAATCGGCGATCTAATAAAATAAAACAAAGGAAAGATTGGCGTTGAGCGTTGTTCACTTTGTTTATTTGGTGCACTATGCATAGCTCTGCTATACTTATTTTGTGCTACGGTAATGATTTACAAGCATGTATAGGCTGCTGCATGACGAAGGCGCAATATCTTTGGGCGCGAATGCGGCTTTATTAGCCGCAGAGCGCATAAGGCGCAGGATTTACAACGGTGAAGATACGCGCGCGTCGCGTTCGCGCCCGCTCAAGTATCATCTCTCCTGCGCCTTCGTCATGCAGTAGCCTTTACAAAAATGTCTTAAGTTGAGTGAGTGCCGCATAGTCCCTTGCGGAACGGATGCTTCACAGGAAAGTATAGCCGCAGCCGACGATAGGTGCTCACCGCGTCCACCCCCGCTTCGGGTGCTAATCCTTCGTCAGCGACTAGGCTTTATCTTGCTAGTGCTTGCAGGCATGAGAATTTAAAATTTTTTTATAAACTAAAGTTATAAAATACGGTAATAAAAATCACCTTCAAAATACTACACACTTCAGCTGGCTTGAAATTTATCAGGTTGCCACCATTTCTAACCAGGGCGACTGCAAATAAGAACTGCAACGAAATTTTCCATAGTCTTTTGTGAAGTATTTCCTAATCCTACCTTCTGGAATTCCTCTTCTTCAAAAGGGATTTTTATTGGGTCTCGATTCAGCATTGGTCCTACAGATTCATCAGTCAAGCCCATGAGACTACTTTCTGAAAAAAAATGATTATGTCATCCTAAGCAAGGAAGCAAAAATGAACTAACGCCGAAATCCTCGTGAGATAATCTTCAAATCTAACAGACTAGAAGCCAGAACGTCAAAAATCATTGTTGATAATACCTAAGCAGCTTATTACCACAATCGTTCCTCCAAATATCTCTGCAAAAGTACCTGAAATCTGACGTATCTCAATCCAGATTCATAATTTGTTTCGCTTTGAACGGCTTCCTCAAGAGACTTGTGAATATAGAAGAAGATGTAGCGCTCTAAAGATGAAGATTCGCGTTGAAGATCCAGTTAGAAGCTGGGAGCTGTCGATTACTTACCTTCATCCGCCAAGTCGTCCTCCATCGTTGTGACAGTTATCACTATGCAGTTAAGGAGCACGAGTTCCAGTGAATTGTCGCTATCTGGTTGTTTTGTAAAGGGCTATGCTTTTACGCGGTCTGTAAAACAGATCTCGAGTCCGAATGCGTTCCGGGTCGCTGAAACGTACATAAATGTTGCTATTAAGTTGAAAAAAGTGCCTAAACTTGTTGCTTGTAATAGTAATATCCACTAAACACGATACGCATAATGCGCCAAGGCAGCGGAAGCAGACAATATATTGCTAGAGGATATATTGTTAGAGGTTATGTCCCCTCACGATTGCTGATTGCAAGGAATCGAGGGCTGAACGCGCCCCGCTCCAAGCACGCTCGCGTACTCTCAGCCTACAGCGAACAGGGCGGTTTCGTGCAGTCGAATTTATCCCTGCCCTATGTTTGCCGTGCGGCACTACAGTCTAACATGTTAGCAACATGTATCAACGTTTCGGCAACCTGCAACAACATGGTGGCGTTGAAACTGATAGTCAAAACGGGATGGACTAAAAAACACTCCAATTAGTCGGCGCCTCCGCGGGATGCTGATCCTTTCGTCCTCTGTTGTGCATCGTGTTACCAGTAGTCCGCGGAGCCGGTACCTAATTGAAGTGTTCGTTCCTCTACCCGTCAAAACGCTTTGCCAGCTCGGTGCTGCATGTTGCCAACACGTTATCGCATGTTGGCAGGCAGATGACCGTTTGATTTTCGAAAAGTCGACTACATTCTCTGGCGCTATTATATTATACATTAGTTGATCCAAAAAATGAAAATCGTGAATTTCGCTAAAACTTCGTCTAAGGAGGTTATTTGGTACGCTGAACACGAATATGATGTTTATTTCGTGCGAGAGCGCCAGCCGGTGGAGTTACGGTAGGAACAGGGAAACAGGAATGGAATGAGAAGTGGAAGCCTCTACTCTAAACTCGAGAAAAGCCAAAGCAATAAGAGAAGCTTCACAACTTCTACAGTGTTCAGATTCCAGTCAGTCTCATAGATGCCAGTATGACACCACCAGCGATGTATGATAAAAGTAAAGAAAAGTCGAAAAACACATTTGAAAAGTTTTCCTTCTGTGGTCATAAAAAACCTAAAAAGTTTGGGCGCTACCCCACATAAGTTGACCCAAAAAATGAAAATCGTGAATTGATTACGGTAGGGGGTCAAAAAATGAAAATCGTGAATTGATTACGGTAGGGGGTCAAAATCACGGATTTGCCCGAGACTTGGCCCAGAGGGGTTATTCGGCCCACTGATGTTGAATATCACACTGGTTTTGTACCGTAGTGTCATTTTTTCAGGCTATGGTAGGTATACGGTAAGGTGACAAAATTCCAAAATCCGCTTAACTTCGCACAGAGGGGTTATTCGACATGCTGTTTAGAAATGTCACACTTTCTCCGCACGAAAACGTCTCCCTGCATGTTTACGGTAGGTTCGGTAGGAATCAAAATCACAAATCGGCAAATGTATCTTTCCCCTGTGCTTTGAGGCAAAAGCCGCAGCAAGGTGTGTAGCGCGCTGCTGTGGTCGTGTGTCCAGCTTTACGATTGTCCGAATCGACGTACACCCGCTTCAGGCAGAACTATGTTTTACACCCGTTACCGTGTAGTTACCGTAACCCGAGAAAATGACGCTACGGTTCAAAACCAATGTGATATTTGGCATCAGCGGGCCGATTAACCCCTCTGGGCCAAGTTTCGGGCAAATCCGTGATTTTGACCCTTCACCATAACCCTTCCGTAACTACACAGGATGACGCTGTCGCACGAAATAAACATCATATTCGTGTTCAGCACGCCAAATAACCCCCTAGACGAAGTTTTAGCGAAATTCACATTTTCATTTTTTGGGTCAACTAATGGCTGACTGACATTCAACAGACGGCTGCTCGCAAGTTTCTAGAATCATTGTGGATTCATGCTAGGAACCCACAAATTAACCGTAAAGAAGAATGCCTCGCAATCACGAGAGAACTATCTCCTTATCTGAGCCAACTATGCTGACCTCCCATTTAGTACTTCCATATACGGTCAGCCTAGCGGTCGTTCTACCAAGGGTGTTGTTTGTGTGGTGAGTAAGTGTTGCAAAGCTACTGGCCAAAATTAAGGCTTAGACCTTTTTCGTAAGGCCGTAAAGACATTTGCCCGTCTGGGTTACCAATCGATACCCCATTCAGGCCTTGACGAAGGCGAGAAGCCGAAACGTTGGCCAATAAAGTTTGTAACAATCTCGGCGTTGGCTACAAGACATCAATATCAACACTTATTAATGAGAAATAGTACCCATCCTCTGATTAGTAGACTCGAGCACGCTTTGCATTTCATTAACAAGTTTAAATGAGTTCTAACGCGTTTGGTTAATTTACTATTAGAATTCATGAAGGAACATGTTTGAGCTCGTTAGATCACGCTGGCCTGAACACTTCTTTCACGAATTCTTGGTAGTAATAAACCAGCGTTAGAACTCATACTTGAACATCTTGATCAAACGTACGCAAAGCGGCTCGCGTCTTTTGGTCAGAGAATGAATGATATATTTCTCTCAATAGATATTTCAAAACCATTGGTTCTGGCTATACTAGACCAGTATCAATCAGCAGATGACGTACGCTATCGTTTTTGTGTGACTATATACAGTGCGTTTGCGAAATTTGTGCCATTTGAATCAGGGTCGAGCAAGAGGCAATGCGGCACACAAGCGCCGGATACGAGCCTCCCCCCTCCCATCTTCTCTTCCGTAGGCATGACATAAAGTCTCTACCATGCATAATTAGGCACATTTTCGTGATTATCATGTCAAATAACCACCATGGGCCAAGTTTCAGCAAATTCTGAGGATTCCCAATGTTGGACCACCCAAGTGAAGTGGAATTTTCGAAATAATTAACTATATTAAAAGTGAATTAGCTGAATTTTTTGTACAAAATACAAAGCACTACTCCCCTGTTTTCCCATGCCATCAAATCTGCTTCAAATAGCCAACAAACTATGGAATTGGAGGCAGGCCAAAATCTCGTTTGTCCCATTTTTCGCTTCCAATAGCTGCGCTTTCACCAGCTTTTACTCAGAGCGAAGAAGATGAATCAGGCCCAAACTCCTCCTATGAAAACTAAAAGACTTAGGCTGTCGAACTATATGTATTTTGTTCGCTTAAATTCTTTTTGGAGGTAAGTTAATGGTGTGGCACAACCCCTAAAAAGCTGTGACCGCCACCTTACCTTCAAAGCATTCAAATCTCTGTCTTTTTTACATGTTTGCTACTGCTAACCCTTCTTCTCCATATAGCATCAATTTCATGCAAAATTGTTTCTCCTAGGGAAAGATGTAGTCGTTTTTCTTTAGCTAAGCAAATGGAAAACTGCGAAAATATTGGATTACGGTAATAGGCTAAGTCTGCGCTCAACATGAATTGTGAGGGAAGGCGGCAAGAACAAGTATATTCGATGGCCTGATCCCCGCAACCTTCACAAAAGTGATTTGAGCCTGTTTGGTCTTCTGTAGTCTGAGAAATCGAAAGCGAAAACTGGGACAAACGAGATTTTGGCTTGCTCTTAATTCCAGAGTTTAGAGGTGTTGAAGTGGGATTCCTAATACGAGCAAAGACGTAGTAGTACCTTGTAATGAGTGCAAAAAGAAGTAGCTTACTCATACAACTTTGAAACGAAGTCAGCATGTCGAAAATGACCACCTCCCTTAAGTGTCCCAATATTTGGAAAGCTCAAAATTCGCTGAAACTTGGCCCTCAGTGGTTATTTAAAATGCTAATTACGAGAATGGTGCTCTTATGCTTTCAGAATTCTTTTAATATGCTTAGAGTGCGTGTACGACGGTAGGCCAAAATATCGTGCTGCTGGTATTTCGTACAATGGGCCTATCAGACATTGTTGAATGACTTAATGTCGCTAACATCACTATCACCGTGGTAACAACCCCCCCCCCTCTTCCTGACTCCTCTATTACCCCCCAGGGTGGCGTGCCGTACCTCACGCTTGACCCTGGTTGAATTTCTTGAACAGCCCCACCAAAGCTATCTCTTTCAGATACGGAAGCTTTTAGCTCAAACGTTTATTCAATTCTCTGGTCAAACCCTTTGACAAATTCTATGTATAAGAAAGTATGCAAGGATGTGGATCATCACTTAAAAAGATTTTTGAAAACATACGAACATAGGTTGGCTATGGAAGCTTCGTCGAAATCCTTCCTGCAGTATATAAATCAAAACCTGGAATCAAACCTTCATCTGTCTGCCATTTCTGACCAAAATGGGAATACCTATGCTGCGGACATGGATTCGCATGCCTTAGCTCGCTGTTTCGCGATGTTGCTTTCATGATGATCAAATTGTGCTTTCGGAATCCTCTGCAGTTCCCACTGTTCATCTTTGCCTTCCTTCTATCTACTTCAATCCCTTTGAAATCTGGAAGATTTTAATCAGATTGAGAGCTTTTCTACTGAAACGTACGACGGCCTGAGAGCTTTTCTACTGAAACGTACGACGGTCTTCCGCAAATTGTTTTCCGAAAATGCGCTTCACCCCTTTGCACTCCTTTTGCGCAAATTTTCAATTTTCACATATGCTTGGAGAAGTGCCGCAGGTCTGAAAAGAGGCGTTGGTATCCGCGATCAGATCCCTAAAGTTTCTAACGCTAAACTCCTTTCGGACTTCCGGCCCATCAGCTTGGTACCTACTGCAGCAAAAGTAATGGAGAAAGTAGTACGTGATAAGCTCTTGAACTGGTTTGCAAAACTCAATATACCCAAAAATGCAAAATTCAATGTACCCATGAATCAGCATGGTTTCATGGCGGAATCGTCTACAATGACAAATCTCGCCGACTCCGTTTTTGATTGCAATTTGGCACTCAACAGAGGCAACTCCGTCAATATCATTTACATGGATCTGTCTAAGGCATTCGACAAAGTGAACCATATGATACTTTTGTCAAAATGGAAGAGTCTTGGTTTTAGTGGAAATCTTTTAAAATGGCTGAAATCTTATTTGAACAACAGAGGAAACGGTTCGTGTAGGGCACCAGTTTTCAGCTTCACAAGCGGTGTCCCACAAGGTGCTGCTGTCTCCTTTGCTTTCTCTGATGTATACGGCCGAGCTTCCAAGCTTTTGAAACACCAGCAAATATTACTATTTGAATGTATGCGGATGATATAAAAATCTATGGATTTTATAATGCGGAGATAAAGATTAGGTCAGATGCGCAATGAAAGCGTCCCTTGAGAAAATAATGCATTGGGCGGCTTGTTTAGGCGTTCTTATCAATTTTCAAAAAAAAGTTTTGTCATGCATTTTGGAGACCTTGAAATTCCAATCTATAAGATAAATGAAAACAAACTGAGAAACTTTTCCGCTGCCAAAAATTTGGGCGTTTTGAGTGTTTCTTTTCTGCTCATATTAATAATGCAGTGAATAAAGCTTGTTCGGTTTTATTTGCGATTTTTTGTAGCGTACATACCGACAACCCGATGATTCTCAAACGTCTCTACCGAGCTTATGTGTTGCCACATTTGGAATATTTTTCTGTAGTATGGAATCCTTTTTGAAGAAAATATCCTGAAGCTGGAGA